GGCTTCGGCCACTAAAAAAATAAACGCGTTTGTTTTTTGCCACCCCTGTGAAGAAGTCAAAGATATTGCAGATAGCCGATGTTATATGCTTGAGTTAATTCAAAATAGTGAAATAAGTTGTTTTATCCGACGTTGACGCAGGATTTGCAATTCGCCTGTATTGAGTTTGAAATAGTAAGACGCACGAACCAACCTCACGAGTATGCGGAAGTGCCATGCCCTGCTTCGAGCGGTCTGCGTGCTTAAGCGTGTGGCTGGAACCAGGAGTTTATTTTTAAGCGTGGCCTTTCTCCCCACTTCCTTATTTTGATGGATAACCATTAAAAATGCGCATTATGGACAGTGGTTTATTCGCATTGTTACCGTTAAAGCAACCGATGTGCTTTAAGTACGCCAACACTATTCCTACAATTCTGAAGTTCTTGATCTCAGTTACCTGTAGACACCTTAGGTATTCGGAGATTGCTTCACAAATTCGTTGATTAATATAGATGAGTCGAAACAGGAGTATTTTCTTGTCTTGCATCCGTACCTTTACGTTTGGCGTTTGATTGTAATCCTTTTAGCCTTTACAGGTAACAGCAGTTGTTATTGTCCACAACTTGTGCAAGTTTCCAACGCATTTGAATGAAGTCTGGCCTGGATTGACACCAATAGCTCCACAAACAGCGTCATCGCTTTATGCTACTGAAAGATTTGTTCGCAATCTCCACAAATTCCCACGCACAATGTCTAAATGATCGCGCTTTTACATGCTACTTAACAAGTGATAACTACTATCTTTTGTGCGTGAAAAGCCATAGATGCGGTAGCATGCCAGTGTGCGACGGAGCGTTCCCCTACCCATCAGCGTACACCATTTTAATTCAAGAAATGATAATATCCACGCATAGTGATATGGGATATGTTGTGGATACCTTTTAACTTGTAACGGATTGACTAGTGGAATTGTTCGCTTTGACTGGTGCAACAAGATCTGTCTACACCCTTGGAATAGAAGTGAACACTCCTTTTATGGGTCGGGAAGTTGCGATATTTTATTGGAAATGAGCAGAGAATTTGACTATAAATAATTGACTGACTTACCTCATTCTCTCTTACTGCCATTACTGGGTTGTATTTTAATGCAGAGGCCTAAATGAATTTTGGGAGCATTTCTAGTGGACTTCAAAGTAATTTGGATTGAAGGGAATTTTCTATGAGTGTTATAAAATTACATTGGCGTTACAATCGCTGGAAATATGATGGTAGGACGAAATAACGTCACTACAAGTTTTTAATTCGGCAGCATAGATCAGCATAAATTCATAAAAGTAGAGAACGCTAAATACAAAGGGACTCGTAAATGAAACAACAACTTGTTCGCTTAAGCTAAGATTTTCATAATCATTGGACTAAGGACGATACTCAAAAAGCAACTCTTCAAAAGAATTTCCTCTATATTCAAAATGATGAAACGCCTAAAATTAGAATGAATTATGCACACCTGTGCATTCCTCTGCAGTGCAATACGATGAAATATAGCTTGGCTCAAATGAATTCCGCAATTACTTCGAATAAAAGTAAATATATGCTGAATTATTTTGCAACTAATCTTTAAAACTTTTGCAGTTAGGATTGCTCACTTTTCAATATGCTAAATTGAAGTAAGATAGGCTAATGGGCTAGAACCTAATTACTTTTACTTAACGGTTTGGTCCCAGAAGATAAGCATCAAAGAGTCGTTTAAGTAAGTTAGTAATGGCA